ACAAATAATATGAGGCATTATTGCTGATGTGTTTATATCTAATTTCCTAAGCAATGAAGAACCCTGTGGAGTCTTGTGATCAACAAAATAATACAAGGTCAAATTACTTTATGAATATTTCCCTGACAGTACTAGAAAATAAAAGAGGCTGCCATATTGCAAATAACCAACAGACACAATAAATAATGTGGTTAGCCTGCTTGAAAATTACTGAATTTTAAAGTAGAATTTTTAAATAAACTTCTACTCATGCCTTCACTTACTGAGCAAAAAATTATTGTGTCAATATTAAACGTGTTATTTTAAGTACAGTGAGTGAAAACAGACATACAGGGTTTTACGAAAACATCAAACAGAAGAACCTACCCTAGACTGGGGTGGTGGTGAGGTGTCAGAAAATATTTTCCTAAAGGAGTAGCATTTAAGGTAACCTAAAAGTTTAATGTATTTTAGCTGTGTGAAAAATAAGGATGAACATTTCAAGTAAAGAAAACTATGTAGGCCCAGAGAGATGGCTCACACCTATAATACCAGCACTTTAGGAGGCCAAAGTGGGAGGATCACTTGAGGCCAGGGATTTGAGACCAGCCTGAGCACCATAGCGAGACCCTGTCTCCACAGAAAATAAAAAAAATTAGCCAGGTGTGGTGGTGTATGTCTGTAGTCCCAGCTACTCCAAAGAATAGCTAGAGCCCAGGAGTTGAAGGTTGCAGTGAGTTGTTTTAGCACCACTGCATTCCAGCCTGGGCGACAGAGCAAAACCTGTCTCAAAAAGACAAAGGAAAAAAAAAAACAAAAAAAGAAACTATGGAAATGTGTGAAAAGTTAAAAAACAAAACAAAACAAAACATTCTTTTGATGAACTGAATGAAGTCTGTAGTATAACTAAAATGGCAAAAGTATGAAGCTACCACTGGGGAAGGGAAGGAAGCAACAACCAGTCATGCAGGACCTTGGAAGTCACAGGAACAAAACTAGATGTGATGTCAAGGGTCAGATAAGCATATGATAAAGGGAGCTACTTTAGAATGAGAATTACCAGTATATTACACTATTCATTCATTTAATGGGCATTCAATAAATTTTTGTGGACTACCATGTCTACCACCAAAAGCTCATCCATTTAAAAAGAACACCCATACATTGAACTGTGAAAATATATTTAACTATTAAAAATAAAAATAACTAAGAATTTTTAGTGCTATATGCTGATATAATCCTTACAAGAATCCTATAAAGTAGAAACTATTAGTATCTTCATTTAATAACCAAAACATGAAAGCCTCAGAAAGGTTAAGCAATCTTGTAACACAATGATGAAGCAGAGAAGCCAGCACCAGAGCCTAGAGCTGTCTAACTGCAAAGCCATTGCTCTTATCATTGAGCAAGACCACGTTGCTTTGTTCTAATGAACTTAAAAAATTTCTTTTCCGGTAAACTGTATTTGACGTAAAAAAAATGTTTAATTACCTTTGAAGCTGCTGTGGCAGTCACACTTTGGGGAAGTTCTTGAGGTTTACTGCTTCCATGGGAAGATTTGTTTCCCCTGTCTCTCTGCCTTTGCCGGCATTCTAAACAGTTTCTCACAGCAACACAACAAACTATTTAAAAAATCAAAAACATTATTAATATAAATTATTGACTTTGATGTATTGGAAAAAGTTACCAGTTTATTTCTTTTTCTCTTTCTTTCCCCTTGCTCCATCCATTATTACTCTTAAAATCAATTAGATCAATAGTTTTTTTTAAATTATGAACTATAGGAATGGAAGTATATATAAAATACATATATACTTAAAAAATAGAAACAGAATATCCATATACTACCAGCCAGCTGAAGAAACAGAACATTATCAGGACTTCTGAAGCTCTCAATATATTCTTCCTTATTTATTTTATTATCCTCCATTTTTCATAATTTTTTTTTTCTGAGATAGGGTCTCATTCAGTCACCCAGGTTGGAGTACAGTGGCCTGATCATAGATCACTGTAACCTTGATCTCTTAAGCTCAGCTACCCTCCCACCCCAGCCTCCCAAGTGGCTAGGACTACAGGCGTACACCACCACACCCAGCTAATTTTTTTATTTTTTGTAG